TCATGACCCACATGGAAACCACAGCTCCCAGCTAAGAGGTTCCTACTTTCTGCAGAAGCTCCAACCCCGCGTCTTCACAGAGCCCGCCTGTGTTCCTCCGGCCAATGTGAACGCCCTGCACTGTCCCACTGCTCCGTGGGTCACCCTACGACAGGGAGCATCCCGTCGGCCTGAGTGGCAGTGCGGATCACTCTCCCCCGGGGATGGACATGCCTGCGGGCCGGGTGGTCCTGTGTCCCCACACACAGCACAGGGTGGTGTGTTGTGCTTCTCAGCTGGGTGCACAGGGAGCGCTGTGGCTTCCAGGTGGTGGGCCAGCTCTGCCGCCTGGCTCAGTGTTTGCCACCCTCTGCACCTACGGCTGTGCTCCTCATTGTCCCCACACATGCTAGGTCTCTGCCACCCCCTCTCCCCGATGCTGGCTCCTCTGGGGCGGGGGCGGGGGGAGCCCTCTCCCTTACCAATCCCATCCTTCTCTGGGGCTTTGGAACAGCTGGGTCTCCACAAACTCCCACATGGAACAGCCTGGAGTAAAATGGTGGAGTTTCTGAAAGGAGAGACCAAGCTTGGGAAGACAGGGATGAGAGACAGAAGGGTCCTAGGTGCCATGGGACTTCAGGAGACAGCGGGTGGCCCCTGATTTGATGCTCAGTACACCAACATGGCCCAGGGAAGGAGCCCGACCCTGAGGGCTCTCTGCTCCGGGCTCCCTGCCACAGGCCACGGCTCTGAGAACAAGGCCTGCGTCTGTCCCTTCCTCCCGGGGCTGAGCGAGCTGAGCACATGGCGGGTCGAAACGACCCTGAGCTGCGTGACGAGAGCTCACGAACCCATTCTTCCCGATAGCCCTGGAGCTGTGGCTCCACCAGGCTGGCCCACGGGTCACCACAGGGGAGAGGCGTCCTGCTGGGGTGCACAGCCAGCCTTCTCAGGTGGACTATGGCACCCTGCCCTCTCCTCCCCTCCCCTCCACACCTACTCTCCTCCTTCACTTCCCGCTGGCAGGGAAAAGACTGCCCCGTTTCACCACACAGTCCACGCCAGAAATCTGCAAGTCAGGCCAATGTGCGGTCACTGCTCTCCCTTCAGTCCACGGGCTCGGCTCTCCTGCAAGGGGGTCCCAGATGCAGCTCCTGCCTCCAGTCTGTCGTTCTACTGTTCGGTTCCCCGACCCCTTCATGTACAGAAGTCCTGTCCCCCAGTGTGACAGCACTAGGAGGGGGTCCGCGGAAGGAGTCAGGCCAGTGCCCTGATGAGAAGAGGCCAGAGGGCTTTCCTGTGCCGCCTCCTTCCCCTCCTTCCCTCTCTCCACTGCCACGTGGGGCACGGCAGGAAGGCTGCAAGCCGGGAAGAGGGACCTCACCAAGCAGTGGACCAGCCGGCACTGACGTTGGACACCTCCGCCTCCAGACCCGGGGGAAATCATCGTCCGCCACTCAGGACGTCCGGTCTGTGGTATTCCTTATCGCAGCCTGAGCTGAGAACACTGCGCCCCTCCCGTGTGGAACTGCCATGAGCTGGGGGTCCCTGGCTTGGAAGAGCTGTTGACAAGGCACATGGAGACCTCCCGGTGGCCCTGGTCGCCCTGCAGCTGTGTGCTCACCTGTGCCCCTGCCTGCCCCAGGCCTACGGCCTCTGAGGGTGGCACTGCCTGCCAGCTGCCCGCGTCTCCAGCACCTGCGGCTCTGCTGTGCTTCCGGCCTGGCTCAGCTTCACCTTCTCACGGAAACCTGGGGGACTCCCCGACCTCTCCTCGGGTCCCCTTTCTGTGCGTCTGGGAGACGCTGCACTTTCTTCTAGTATGACAGGGTCTCACTGAGGTGACGTCTGTGTCCCCCACCCCCAAGTTCGGAATGGCTCGCCTTACTTCCACAGCACGGCACAGAGGACACGGCACACAGTGGGCGTCTGAACAATTACGTGGATTTTAGATGGGGTGGAGAACCTTTTCAGAATCTGGACTCTGTGCCTTATCAGGAGATCCTGAGGGAGAACTGGGAGAGCCAAAAGCCTGGGCCTGCAACTGTCTCGACCACCGTGAGCACAGCTCATCAGGGGAAGGAGCCACGGAGCCACGGAGCCACGGAGTGCACTCACCTCTCGCTTACAGCAAGGTTCTGCTGCTTTAAATAGCCCAGGAAGGTGTTCAGGACCCAGCTAGTCACCTTTTTTGGCTCTGCCCTAGTTTCTTTGATCACACTTTGGAAGAACTCCAGTAGGCCAACTTCATTCTGTTAAAAAAAAAAAAAATAATAATCACATAAAAGCTCCCCAAAATGGAAGATCAATATTCTGATGGCGAATCTGAAACTGGGGCCCTCTGCCTCCCCTGAGACCGCCACCTCCTCCTGGCTGAACTCCGAGATGTACCAGAAGATTCTGCTCTGGAAACGTTGAGTGTCTCCTTCTGCCACTGTCGCCGTGTGTCCATGGGGCTTTCTCAAAGGCACGGACACATCTCGGAGAGCCCTGACTCTGCAGCAGAGGATGGTGCGGTCCCACACCCCTAACTCGCTCACTCCTCAGCGTCAGCCATGCGCCCCATAACCTTCGTCCGCAAGCTGCGAACTGCGCCCGAGTGTCTGGGCCGAGTTGACAGGCCTTTCTCTTCTAGGCCTGTCCTCTGCTGAAGTCCTAGCGATGGCCAGAAAAGTAGGCAGGAGACAAAGCGAATGGACAGGAGCCGCACGGCCTCGTCTACCTGACAGAAATCGGAGGGCATCACCGCCGTCCTCCTCGCTCTGAGCAGTACACAGGAAAGGCTCTGAATGTTTTCAAGTCAGGGCAGATGGGCGCGTGTGACCTGCTAGCCACATACCCGGGGGTGGGGAGCTATGGCCTCGGGACTTTAAGGAAAAGTTCATTTCATTTATTTGAGACAGAGAGGGGTGCCCACGATAGGGCCTTGCCAGGCTACGGTCCCCAGCCTTCCAGCTAGTCAGGATCGAGGCCCACACGTGGCCAGCAAGTTTCAGGTCCACTCGGGATCTGAGCCTGCGTCGGTCATGTGGCTTCCGACACTGCAGATCAGCACGCTACCTCCTGCGCCACTGGGCTGGGCCGCTTCAGGCCTTCTGCACTGAGCCAGGCCCTGCCGGCCCTGCCTATCATCCTGCTCCAGAACCACAGTTGGGTTGGTCCCACGAGGAGATTAGATTCACTTCAGGAAGACCTTCCTGACGCTGCCGCTCTGACCGGCTGCCCCCGTCCTGTGCCGCCTCCTTCCCCTCCTTCCCTCTCTCCACTGCCACGTGGGGCACGGCAGGAAGGCTGCAAGCCGGGAAGAGGGCCCTCACCAAGCAGTGGACCAGCCGGCACTGACGTTGGACACCTCCGCCTCCAGACCCGGGGGAAATCATCGTCCGCCACTCAGGACGTCCGGTCTGTGGTATTCCTTATCGCAGCCTGAGCTGAGAACACTGCGCCCCTCCCGTGTGGAACTGCCATGAGCTGGGGGTCCCTGGCTTGGAAGAGCTGTTGACAAGGCACATGGAGACCTCCCGGTGGCCCTGGTCGCCCTGCAGCTGTGTGCTCACCTGTGCCCCTGCCTGCCCCAGGCCTACGGCCTCTGAGGGTGGCACTGCCTGCCAGCTGCCCGCGTCTCCAGCACCTGCGGCTCTGCTGTGCTTCCGGCCTGGCTCAGCTTCACCTTCTCACGGAAACCTGGGGGACTCCCCGACCTCTCCTCGGGTCCCCTTTCTGTGCGTCTGGGAGACGCTGCACTTTCTTCTAGTATGACAGGGTCTCACTGAGGTGACGTCTGTGTCCCCCACCCCCAAGTTCGGAATGGCTCGCCTTACTTCCACAGCACGGCACAGAGGACACGGCACACAGTGGGCGTCTGAACAATTACGTGGATTTTAGATGGGGTGGAGAACCTTTTCAGAATCTGGACTCTGTGCCTTATCAGGAGATCCTGAGGGAGAACTGGGAGAGCCAAAAGCCTGGGCCTGCAACTGTCTCGACCACCGTGAGCACAGCTCATCAGGGGAAGGAGCCACGGAGCCACGGAGCCACGGAGTGCACTCACCTCTCGCTTACAGCAAGGTTCTGCTGCTTTAAATAGCCCAGGAAGGTGTTCAGGACCCAGCTAGTCACCTTTTTTGGCTCTGCCCTAGTTTCTTTGATCACACTTTGGAAGAACTCCAGTAGGCCAACTTCATTCTGTTAAAAAAAAAAAAAATAATAATCACATAAAAGCTCCCCAAAATGGAAGATCAATATTCTGATGGCGAATCTGAAACTGGGGCCCTCTGCCTCCCCTGAGACCGCCACCTCCTCCTGGCTGAACTCCGAGATGTACCAGAAGATTCTGCTCTGGAAACGTTGAGTGTCTCCTTCTGCCACTGTCGCCGTGTGTCCATGGGGCTTTCTCAAAGGCACGGACACATCTCGGAGAGCCCTGACTCTGCAGCAGAGGATGGTGCGGTCCCACACCCCTAACTCGCTCACTCCTCAGCGTCAGCCATGCGCCCCATAACCTTCGTCCGCAAGCTGCGAACTGCGCCCGAGTGTCTGGCCCGAGTTGACAGGCCTTTCTCTTCTAGGCCTGTCCTCTGCTGAAGTCCTAGCGATGGCCAGAAAAGTAGGCAGGAGACAAAGCGAATGGACAGGAGACGCACGGCCTCGTCTACCTGACAGAAATCGGAGGGCATCACCGCCGTCCTCCTCGCTCTGAGCAGTACACAGGAAAGGCTCTGAATGTTTTCAAGTCAGGGCAGATGGGCGCGTGTGACCTGCTAGCCACATACCCGGGGGTGGGGAGCTATGGCCTCGGGACTTTAAGGAAAAGTTCATTTCATTTATTTGAGACAGAGAGGGGTGCCCACGATAGGGCCTTGCCAGGCTACGGTCCCCAGCCTTCCAGCTAGTCAGGATCGAGGCCCACACGTGGCCAGCAAGTTTCAGGTCCACTCGGGATCTGAGCCTGCGTCGGTCATGTGGCTTCCGACACTGCAGATCAGCACGCTACCTCCTGCGCCACTGGGCTGGGCCGCTTCAGGCCTTCTGCACTGAGCCAGGCCCTGCCGGCCCTGCCTATCATCCTGCTCCAGAACCACAGTTGGGTTGGTCCCACGAGGAGATTAGATTCACTTCAGGAAGACCTTCCTGACGCTGCCGCTCTGACCGGCTGCCCCGGGAGTCAGGGTTTCCCTTCACCCTGCAACTGGGGCGAAGGCGGCGTCGGGCCGGGGGGCTGCTCGGCCAGCACCAGCGAGGCGTGAGCCTCTCCCACTCTCACATGCGTTGGCTGGACATCACATGTGAGCTCGCACTTTTTAATGTTTGAATTTGCTAGAGCGAGCAAGCATTTGCTAGAGAAAGAGAAAAGAAGAGTAAAGGAGCACCCCCTAGAGGGGATGGTAATGCCACAATCCCTTCTCCTCCATTTCTCCTGTTGGGATTTTGGACACGCACACAAATGTGCCTGGCATGTTTTACAAGCCACCAGGACCAGGACTCGAACTGCATAGTCAGCCATGTGGGATCCAGCAGCCTGAACCACCATGCCACTAGCTAGCCCAGAGAGAGCACTTACCCTTTATCATATCCTGTTCATCTTCCAGTACTGCAACTGCCCTGACTGTGCTGAGGGGCGAGCCGAGACACTCCGACACCATGGCTGACGGCAGGCTCGGAGCACTGACCCTTTGTCATGTCATGTCATGTCATATCATATCAATACTGTACCTGCCCTGACTGCCGAGGGGCGACCCGAGGCACTCCGACACCATGGCTGACGGCCAGCTAAGAGCCATTGGACAGAACGGAGAAAATGAACTCTGTTCACTCCTAGGACTTCGGTAAGAAAAATAAGGGCACATTTCCCTTGTGGTGGGGGGGCTGAGATATGCAAATGCAGAGGGTGTACACCCCGAGTAGATTCCCCTTACTTGATGAGACTGACATCAAGCCACACCCTCTTACAGAGAGTCCTTTACAAGTTCGCACTGCAGCTAAGGCGCCTGCCTTTCTCCTCCCAGAGACTCTTCATTAACCGAAAGAAATTTCAGGAACAAGAAGATACTGGGAAGAAGCCAGACACACTCACAGAAGCACTGTCAGAGTTTAGGCATCATGTCACTCGAGGTTGTAACATGCACACAGGCCCTCAGTCGCTAAAGCAGAAATGCCACAGTAACAGAAAAACCCGTGTGCCCTTTGTAAGAAGTAAATTCTCTGGGGTCGAGCCTGCTGAATAATCCCGCAATCAGCTCCTGAATCTTTTCAAGGCAATGCTATTAATCTGCCCATGCTAAACCAGGGCAAAGGCCCCCTGAGCAGCCAAAGCCTGACTGCAGATGAAGGCAGAGCCAGACAACACGGAGAGCAGCTTCTGCCTAACTTCCACAATGGCCCGGAACCGCTGGGGAAGGAGGAAACTCCTGCCTGGCCCCCATCAGACCGGCAGAACTCCCTTTGTTCTACCCAGACAGACTGGGCCTCTGGTGGAATGAGCTGTCAGGAGGAGAAACGCTTTGCTTTGCCAAGGAAAGGTTTTCTAAATCCACCTAGAAATACTGCACCTGAACTCACGGGCCTGGCTGAGTTGCCGGGATGTGAAGAATATCTATTCCTCTCCCCTTGGGTGGTTTTTTTTACTGGATGGATAACATGGCAAGTCAGATTTCTGTTTGTCTTTTCATGTCGGCGCAGCGATGAAGCCTCTCCGAGCTGGAACTGCACGTCACCAGGGGATACATGGTTTCAGTCTACAGCTTAAAGCGGACGTGAAGATCTGCGATCGCGGCGGGGTGGGCTGTGGGGAGGGTGGGGCCGAGGGAGGCTGGGCCGCTCTGGACAGAGGATGATGGATCAGTAACTGTGGCATATGGGTGGCCGCTCTGCTTCTGCAGAGAACAGCCCGCTTTTCAGGGGGAAAAATACACAGGCACCCTAGTTTCCTAGCCTTCTCGGTTTTCTGAGATTGGCAAATGCGAACGGGCTTGGCACCAATCTCAGAAGTCTCTGGTGAACGGGGCCACGCGGCCATCTGGTTCGCCCAGAAAAACAGGGGGCCAGTCATTCCCACATAGAAATCGTATTAAGAACAAGGCAGAGAGGCCGCTGCGCTACGGGCCTCTGATGTCCTCTGCAAAAGCAGCAGGGAAGTGACCGATCGGGACTGGCCCAGCCCATGCGCCACAGCACGGAGACCGTCCAACCCGTCCTCCAGAGCTGCCTGAAGCGGCAGGACCGCGGGCTCGTCTCTGCTGCAGGAGCACACGGTCCTGACAGCTCGATGACCAGGAAGCGACTTCTCCACGTTTTAGTCAACCTTCCCAAAGCATTCACTTCCAGGGACCAGCAGTTAGCATAATGGCTATGTCACTGGACTTCCATGTAGTCGACCGCGGTTCGAGTCCCGGACCTGGTGGCTTAAAACTCACGCCGGGCATGTGTGCATGAGTGCCCAAGATCCCGAGAGGACAATGGAGGAGAAGGGATTGCGGCATGGCTATCCCCTCTGGGGGGTGGTGGTGGTGATTTCTCGCTTTCTATCTCTCTGTCTCTCTCTTTCTGGCGAGCACACGTGCCCAATAAGAAAAAAACTCCAAA